TGGGACCACAGGCGCCCGCCACAGCGCCTGACTATTTTTTGGTTGCAGCCGTCATTGTTGTTTTGGCGGGCCCGGGCTGGATTCGAACCCGCCACCTTAGGTGTATGTGGCTAGAGCCTTGGCCACTTGAGCCACAGGCGCTGAGCCAAATAGTGTGGTTTTTCTTCCCTAATATGACATTTGCCATCATGAAGCAGGAGACTCGTGTGGATCTCTTCCGGAAGGTGCAATACCTTTGAATGATGCCTAAGAAATTCCACGTGCGGTTATGTTGAGGCTCTGTGTGGAGTTTGAGAAGATCCAGCTTCTGAGTGTCTAGGAACAGTCTCCTGCCTTTTGCTCAAGGACTCCGTGCTTAAGGCGCTTACCCCAAGGCTGCTCTTGTGTAGTGTGCAATATATCTCTGTGGTCGCCACAAAGCTGCACGTGATATCAGCCTCTCCTCTCCCTTCTAGCTGCGCCAGGAGGTGGTGGTTTGCATGCGGAGGGACACAGCCCTTGAGACTGCCCTCAACGCCAAGGCCTACAAGCGCAGCAAGAGACAGTCCCTGCGCGAGGCCCGCATCACTGAGAAGCTGGAGAAGCAACAGAAGATCGAGCAGGAGCGGAAGCGCAGGCAAAAGCACCAGGTGTGTCCCTGAGGCCTACATACCTGGGTTCCTGGCCTATCCTGGCACACTTGCTACAACAGGAACTGTGTTTGCTCTATTTGTCAACATGCTTGGTGGTATCTCTTTTTTGTTTGTTATAACAGTATTGTAGACATTGAGAATATGCTGCAAGGTGAATCCAAACAGTGGGGCAGGACAGGTAATAAAAGGTGATAGGGTGTAAAGAAAAATCCAGCTGGGATAGAGAGTGAAGGAGAAACTATTGTAGATGGGATTGGGGGAGCCCTGTCTGGGGAGGTGAGAGCTAAGCAGAGACCTGAGGGAGGGGCAGGACTGCTATGTGGGCAAAGAGCTTTCCAGGCAGAAGGTAGTGGATTATGCCTGTGACTTTCATAGAAAGCAAGGATCTCAGAGGAGGTGAGGACAAGGCAGTGGCAGGACAGGTCAGGCAGTCCTCTGTAGGCTTCAGGGAGGATTGGGGCCTTTATTCCGAGTGAGGTAGGTGCCATTGAGGGTTCCATGCAAAGGAGGGACTGAGCTGACTCAGATTTTTATAAGATAAGTCAAGGAGACTAAACTCTCCAAATCTATTTTTTTTTTTTTTTTTT